TATTTATATTTATATTTATATTTATATTTTCCTGAGCATTAAAAATAGTTTGTATTTTCTGATGAAGTTGAGCATAACTAAGTTTTATCTTGTACTTCGGTTTATAGTCCTTTTTTTACATTAAGGCTTTTTTCTTGTATTGAAAGGAGATGAAAAACGAAAATATTTGAATAATGTGGTCGGAAATTTTCAGATGGGTCATCTGATGTCGCCTTCCGAAGATATTGCACGGTTTTGTCTTTCTTCAGCAACTGCATTTGCAATTTGCTGGGTTCTTGAATTACTTATTTTAGTATCTCATTTACAGATTCTTTGCCCGGAAAGAATTCCATCAAATGCCACTAGAAGATATAATGTGTTTGTTCTCTTAACTACTAAATTTAAATTGTAATTTAATAGAGAATGTTACAAAAATGCCTTCTAATAACAATTTTCAGGCCTGAAAAATTTTTCGATACTTATAGCAAATTTCTCAATAATCCTTCATTTGTTCACTGTGTAATATTTTTGGTGTTGTTATCCTTACTCGGAGGTTCCATTTGGACTGCAGTAAATATGGAAGAAGATTTCTCTCCTGAGAAAACTTTTGATGAACACTCATTTCTTGCAAAATCATTAGCATCATTAAACAAAGTTAGATCATTTTTTATTCAATAATTATACGTCTGTAATTTACTTTATACTTTTTGTTTTATTATTTACATATATTAATAAATTTTTGGCTAAATCGTAATTATTTTATGCATATTTTTGCACACATCTTAATATCATATTATAAAAATTTAATAGTATAAAAAGTTATTTTTCAAACTTTATTGAAATTCTTGCAGATTTATTCTGATCATCAAATTGTCCGAATAATAACGGAGCTGCCAGTCTCTGTTTATTTGTTTAAAAAAAATATTCGCGAAATAAAGATGTTTAGACACGCATGCAAAGATTTCCCCATTTGGCTTGACATATATGATTCACTGTATCAATCCACAGCAGCAAATATGGATGAATATCTCAGTTATTTACGTAATTTCTATAAATTATATCCGGGAACAGGCCATTATGTTAGGCTTTATAAATCAGAGTAAATTTTACTCACGTTTTTTCCTTGTAGATTAAACTACTCACTTTACAGTATTTCATTCCTTAGCTGACTTGATATATTTCCAGATTTTCAACAGTGAGAAAAATATCTTTTGATTTTTGTTTGAAAGGGTCAAAAACATGGCATGAACGAGCATATGTTGTAAATAATTTGCGCAAAATACTTCCTGAAGGCTACTCAATGTATTTTTATGATTCACATATTCTCGATCTTATTCTATCAATTAAAGGAACTATTTTCAAAGCAATCATGATAACAGTTCTGATTATGGCTATTATTTGTACTCAACTTTTGCCTGAGAAAAAAATATCTTCTTGCACTGTTTTTTCTCTAGCATCAGCAACAATATGTTAGTTATAATTCTAATTAGTACCAATTATACTATAAAAGGATATAATAAATTATTAAAGTATCTAAAGTTATCATGCTTGCTATTAATTTATGGAATATACTGTAATTTCTAATAGCAAATTTTTTTTGACGATAACGATAAAACAGTGCAAATTTAATTATTCTTAAGAGATAAGAAAAATTATTATTTATTACAGTTGTGATAGGAGGTCTGTATTTATGGGGAGCAGAATTAGATATGGTTTTCATGGTGAATATTGTAATGGTAGCAGGTTTTAGTGTTGATTATCTTTCTCATATTAGTTATCATTTATATCGGAAACGTGGTCGAAATGAAGTAGAACATATGAAGAAAACTCTTCAACTTATATCTGGTCCTTCAGCTCAGGTACTCACATAGTAAGCTTAACCTTTATGAACAAGCAACTATAGACCATTGATTCTGCGCACTCTCCTATGTATAATTATCAAGGGTCAAGCTGACAATATTTATGTTATTAAGATTTGAGCCACAAAAAACCTTTGTATAAAAAATATGCTTACTTATTCTGCAAAACTATCCTACTAATAAATTTCGAAAAGTTCTGTTTACTTTTAGCCAAATTTATAAAATTGATAAAAGTTACTTGTAACTTCTTAATATTTTGTCTACTTAAATGTATTTAGGCAGCGTTGACAACCATTGCTTGTGTGATTCCATTATTATTCCATGATGTTTACATGTACGTTGTATTCGCTAAAACAGTCGTGCTATGCAGTATTTTTGGTTTTCTACATGCAACATTCGTGATGCCATTGTTATTTTCATCAGTTGAAAGATTATTTACTTTCATTTCTTCTGACAATCATCCCATTAGTCTAGTCTCAAGTCAAATTGCTCTCAATTTGATCCCGTCCAGACAACGAAGGCAAAACTCAGGCGAAGGCTCACAAGCACAACCACGCAGACCAACGGTTGATGACGATTATCAAGAGACAACCAGCGTCTAAAATTGTCTACTGTTAACTGAATCCACGAAATATAGTCAGAATCATGTATGATTACGAGTTTTTGATTGCAAAATGAAAAATAACCAAATAACTAACCAATGAATTAGAAGAAAGCAATAAACAATTTGGGATATGTTATCAATTTCCTATTTACATTTTTCAAAATCTCATTTGGCGTGGCGTTCAACTATGTTGTTATTTTGACTATTTCATGACATCAATTTGAAAATTGTGCTTTGTATTTCTAATGTCGTTACGAATAAATTTCCATAGTGTACTGAATCATTCAATTAACATGATTTCAAACTCAAAATATAACAATTGCAAGTGTGGAAGAAAATTTAGAATGGGTTAATCCACAATTTTTCAAAAAGATCTACTTCAGAAATATTTGTCTCACAATAAATTGATCTGAAGACAGAATCAATGATAGTGAAGTAATTTATGTGCTCAAACGTTGAAAACGTTAAAAAAAGATGAAAGATTTGGGTTTAAAATAAGATATGAAAAATGAATTACGAAGAAAGAGTTACGTAGGATATAGGCCAGTAATTGATTAGTCGATGTGCTAGTCTATCATCGCAGAGATGAGAAAAATCGAAATTCCTCGTATCATTTACTGCTCGCACTATGATCTCGAAACTTCGTTGGTGGCATTTGATAGATTGAGCGAGTGCAAACATTGTGGGTGGTAAAATTCACATTTATCAGTTTTCTTCGTGTGTGGTATTTTCACATAAGAATAAAAACAGTGAAATTTAAAACGGTTTTTCATTGCGGCATAAATTCAAAAAAAATATCGTTTTAAATCCATATGATATAACATCACGCTAGTCAATATTTTATTAATATTGATATTGTAATCTCTGGTCTTATCACAACTTACAAGCTATACAGTATTGATTAGTTAGGTTATTAATTAATTGATTAACTTATTCTTTAATGCTAGTTAATATATTTCTTTAAGTGAATTCATCAATGCTAGTTATTTTGCCATCATCTAACTTGATGTGTACAATAGGTATATATATATATTCATTTCAAAATTATTTCGTTTTATTTTCTCATTTACTGCATAATTTATTCAAATTTATAATCACTGATAAAACATGGACAGATTTGAAGATATATTATAATTATGCAGTTTGCTACACCAACTTTCACGTTCTGTAAATGAGTACTGCGTTGTTATCACTTTTTTTTTTTAAAAACAAAATTTGGCATTTATTATTCGATTAAAAGTTTTAAAATCATCATTAATTATTCAGTGATGTTTTGAATTTTTATTATTATTTATTTTCATTGTAGCTTTTTTCAAAATTTTTTGAAAATTTGATATTGTAAACAGTATGAAAGAAAAGTATATTGTTTAATTCTTGGCAGCATTAATGACTTTCAATTCATACTTATGCTAGTATTAGCTAAAAACAATTCACGCTCATTTCAGTTCAAATACCTGCAGTTTACTTGAGAAATCTTTGTATCAATATTTTTGATAAACTTCAACTTCTGAAAAACTGATTGATTTCGTTACTTTGCTGTGTCATTTATCAACTGCACAGAATATCTGTATTATCTTTTTTCCCGTGTAAACTAAAATGACATTATTTTTCTGTGAAATAAATTAAATTTTTGGCTATTTTCGATCTCTATTTTAATTTAAACGATGCATTATTTAAAAGAATAATAAATTATGATGGAAAAAAATTTTGAGGAGAAATTATTTTATTTAGAATGAAACGAATATGAGAAACAGTCTTGGCAGTATTTGCAACATCATAATAGCGCCTTGATTTTTATCTCACTCTAAATTCCCGCTTTTTGGCTTTCTTTTCGTCGTCCAGTTGAGAAAAAAGAACTCACATATTTCTCGGTAATTTTTGAAGGCTTCATTAGTCAGTCAATGCATTACAGTTCTGAAGTGAATTTGAAGTCTGTTGGTAATGGACAAGATGTAAGTGTCCATCTTCAAATGTTAGTAAACTTTCGTTCATGTAATTATTTTGATACGTTTTTATTGACAATACATGCGCTTTTTAACAACTGTACAAAAGAAACTGATCAGTATGAAATATATAATACGTTTTGCCGTGTATTATAGCATATTTAGTTTTATTCTATTGTTTGCATTTTCTATTTTTTACATCAAATAAGTTTTTCTTCTATAAATTTTACTGTGACTTTGACTTAATGCATTCCAATGCAGTCAAAACATCTTTAAAGTTCTTTAAATTACTGAATTTTAATTTATTGTTTTGCTATGTTGAAAGAATCAGTCAGTGTACTGTACTTGTTTTGTATTTGATGAATCAATAAAACTTATTTTCCAATGTTATCTAATGCTGTATATGATTGCTATAGTAGATATTGTGTTCTACTTGCAAGCAAAGCTTTATTATACTTTTTAAAAAGCTTCGATCAAATATGATAGACTATACATTATATCCATACAGTGCTATAAATTTGTTTTAAATACTACATTTGTAAGAAACAAGGAGCATAATAAAATTACAGACTGCCTGAATTTTATTTGGACTTCATTTTTCTCTCTTAATTGCGTGTTTATATTTATTTTTTGTTTTTCATTCAATATAAAGTTTTTATTAATTTGTAAGTTAGCATTGTGAAATTTTTTCTTTTTTCACTCGTCGAGATATCAGAAGAAAAGGCTTACATGACAAATGAAGATTGTTTTAAATTGCAAAAATTACTGTGCTCGACAAATCAAGATGCACGCTGATTGAACGAATAAGACTTACTTAGTATATCTGACTATCTTACACACCATAGGCAACAAAAAATTGAATGCAGAATGCTGTATAATTTCAATGCGCATCATAAAAACACTAGCTAATTTTATAATTTTCGGAAATGATAATATCAGAAAAATCGGCAGATGAGATCCGTGCTTATAATTAAACTTGAAACCAAAAAAGTTTGCAGATAGCAACCTTTTTTTCTCATAAATTAATCGCTAAGCTTCAGTTTTTACTAGCACTTTAATTGTCATCTCAGAAGAAAAAGACGTAAAAACTAAGTGTTTTAAGAAACTGCTTTACGCTTAGTCTTATTAGACAACTCTTCTACCATTTACTTTAATTAATCATTTCTAATGAGGATATTTTTGTTACTTATTAGAGTCTATTGTTACATTACATGATGCTATGAATTTCAATATTTGCTGTTTGTGTCGCTAAGGATTTTTTGAGCATTATCAACCATGAATAACACATCAGCTATTATAAAAGTAGAACTTCAGCATTTATATGAATTTTCCAAACCAGTGTATGATGTCTGACTTCAATATATTCTATATTTCGTAGTTGAGAAAAAGTTTGCATAATTGTCGCATGTAACTTACATGCTACTTTTCTATTAGCATGTTACTGGCGGAAAAAGAGCTCGGTTGTATTTTTATCTAGTTGAACATGTAATGAGGTTTCAAGTTTAATTATAAGCACA